GCCAGCAGCCCGAGGCCATCCGCACGGTGACCTCGGCGCTCAAGGAGCTGTACCGCAGCAAGCTGCTGCCGCTGGAGGCGTGCTACCGCTTCGGCGCCTTCCACTCGCCGGCGCTGGAGGACGCAGACTTCGACGGCAAGCCCATGGTGCTGGTGGCCGGCCAGTACAGCACCGGCAAGACCAGCTTCATCCAGTACCTGCTGGAGCAGGAGGTCCCCGGCTCCCGCGTGGGGCCCGAGCCCACCACCGACTGCTTTGTGGCCGTCATGCACGGCGACACCGAGGGCACTGTGCCTGGCAACGCCCTGGTCGTGGACCCGGACAAGCCTTTCCGGAAGCTCAACCCCTTCGGGAACACCTTCCTCAACAGGTGCGGGATCGGCAGGGTGGCCCTGGGTGGGAACTGTGCCTGGGCTGCTCCTGGGGCGCCCGGTGTCCTCTTTGCGGGGTCTCTGCTGTGCAGTCCTCGCTGCCTGTCTTTCCTGTCCCCTCTCCTGCCTCTGTGTGGACGCCTGACCTTCCTGCCCCCAGGTTCATGTGCGCCCAGCTCCCCAACCAAGTCCTGGAGAGCATCAGCATCATCGACACCCCCGGCATCCTGTCGGGCGCCAAGCAGAGAGTGAGCCGGGGTGAGTGAGGGGGGTGGCGCCTCCCTGCTAGGGATCAGGAGGGGGAAGCTGGAGCTGGACCCTGGATCTGAGGGAGGAGTCTGGGCCTGGACCCCCAGGTCTGAGGGAGGAGGCTGGGCCTGGATCCCCGGGTCTGAGGGAGGAGGCTGGGCCAGGATCACCTGGGTCCGAGGGAAGAGGCTGGGCCTGGATCCCCGGGTCCGAGGGAAGAGGCTGGGCCTGGATCCCCGGGTCCGGGGGAGGAGGCTGGGCCTGGATCCCCGGTCCGAGGGAGGAGGCTGGGCCTGGATCCCCGGGTCCGAGGGAGGAGGCTGGGCCTGGATCCCCTGGGTCTGAGGGAGGAGGCTGGGCCTGGATCCCCTGGGTCTGAGGGAGGAGGCTGGGCCTGGATCCCCGGGTCTGAGGGAGGAGGCTGGGCCTGGATCCCCGGGTCTGAGGGAGGAGGCTGGGCCTGGATCCCCGGGTCTGATGGAGGAGGCCGGACCAGGATCACCCAGGTCTGGGGGAGGGGGCTGGGCTCTTGCTAGGACTCGGCCTGGCTGTCAGGAGGGGTGGGTGGCTGGGTAGCAGAGGGTGCTCCTGAGAGGCTGTGATTGTTCTGTGGATGTCGGGTACTGCGGGAGGCGTGTGGGGCACGAGTGTGAGCAGCCTGGCACATGTCTGGGCTGGCTGGGGCAGGGAAGGGGAGAAGTGGAGAGAGCAGAGGGAGGAGAGGTAGGGCTTCCGAGTGAGTGACTCGCACCAGCCCGAGAGTTAGAGCCTGGCGGGCCTAGGGCCTGGGGCCGGGGATTGCGCTGGGAGGGGAATCTGGACCGGGGCCAAGGCGGGGCCTGGAATTTATAAACAGCTGTGCAGGGGGAGCCCAGACGGTGAATTCCAGCAGGGCCTCCAGGGAGCCCTCCCCGCCCCTGGGCCCCCGCCCGGCCCACTGCAGCACCCAGCATCTGACCCCCCATCTCCACCCCCCTCCCAGCCTCACAGGCCGGGAACCAGGGCAAAGGAGGCCGCAGTGTGGGGCAGAGGGGACGGGAGGCCAGGGCAGGGCGGAGACGCCAGGGTTCCGTGGCCCTGGCCCCTGTCCAGTGGCTCAGCCACATGGGAGTGAGGCAGGAGGCAGCTGTGGAGGCAGTGGAGGGAGGGTGAGGGCGCACTGCCAGGCGGAGAGGAACTCCTGGGGCTCCACCGGCTGCGCCCCAGGTCTCCACAGGGAGTGGAGTAGGTGTTTGCTTCCCTGGCCTTGGGGTACAGGAAGAGGAGTCCCCGGGTTGACTTGTGTGTGTGTCCGACCTCCCGCTGCCCTGGGAAAGTGTGTCGTGTGTGTGATGGGTGTGGAGGACTCTGGAGGACAGGGCAGGCCTCGTGGGCCACATGCGACAACCTCTGTTCGGGGCCACGCGGGGAAACGTGTGCAGGAGCCTGTGTGTCTGAGAATCACCTTGTGTGTGGCTGGATGAAGCAGCGTGGGGCTGGGAAGGAGCCGAGTTGTGAGTGTGAGTCTCTGTGAGGGAGGCCCGGGCAGGTGTGCTGTCTGTGTGCGTCTGTGAGGTGACGACGGAGGACCAGGAGGACAGAGGATCTTATGGACAGTGTGCACAGGCGTGCCCTGTGTGCGTGTGCGAACGTGTGTGCAGGAGTGTGACTGGGTCCGTGGTGCCCTTGGAACTGGAGGGTGTAGGGTTTGAGTGTGTCTGGTTGTGTCTCTGGAGGACAGTGGTTGTGCGTGTGCCTCCTTGTGTGTGTGCGCGCGCGCGCTGGTTGTGTGTGTGTGTGTGTGTGTGTGTGTGCGTGTGTGTGTGTGTGTTGGGGATGGTGAGCAGGGGTGGCCCGGAAGCCTGCATCTTCCGGCGTGTGGCTCAGATTGTGTCCGGCTGGGGGTGTGGCTGCCTCTGCTTGCCGCATCTGTGAGCACCTGGCGTGTGACTGGCCCGCGGGGCCTTCTAGCCCACTTCCAGTCGGGCTACTGTGTAGTGCAGGCTGGCTTTGAACTTGTGGCGATCCTCCTGCGTCAGCCTCCCCAGTGAGTGCTGGGATCACAGCTGTGCGCCACCACGCATCCGCCTTGCACTTGGCTACTTTCAACTGTGGGACCCTGCCCGTGCCACCCACCCTGTGCCCGGCTCTCTGTGCCCGGGACTGTGGCTCTCACCCCTGGCTTGTCGGACGGAGCTGGGGCACAGCCGGCCCCGTGCGAGTGGGCGGGACTTAACCCTGTGACCCCGCCCCCGCCACGTCCCGTTCTCACGCTGACTCAACCTCTCTCTGCCTCCCTCCCAGCCCCCTGAGACACACTTTCCTAGTCCCGGGTGCGCAGGCGCGCATGTGCACTGGCCCTTCCCCAAACAACGCCCCGCCCACCCCACCGCGTCCCGCTGCGCCTGGGCAGGACCGGGACAGGCCCGCACTGGCGCCCCAGTGGGGCGTGGGGGCCAACGGGCTCCTGTCCTGTGGCCTCCTGCCTGTGTGTCTTGCATAAGCCCCTTAGTCTCTTGTGCCTCAGTTTCCTCATCTGGAAAAATGGTGTCAAAAAATGTTGCTCACACTGGGGACTGTGTGCCCATAAAGACGGCTGGCACTGCCCCAGAGGCACCCCCAGCAGGTAGCTTGGGAAGAGACACCCCGCGGAGTCTATGTCCTGGACTACAGTTAGGACCCCGCTACTGTGCACCTAGTATCCGGTCTACCTTTTGTTTTTCTTTTGCAGTCCTGGGGATTGAACCCAGGGCTTTCATGTTGAGCTACGTCCCCCACACTTCCACCCCACCCTTTTTGTGAGACAGGATCTCACTAAGTCACTAAACTGTCCAGGCCAGGGTAGGATTGAACTTGTGCCCTTCCTGACTCAGCCTCCTGGAGTGCTGGGATCACAGGTGTGCCACCACCCCGGCTAAGGTGTAACTTACGTGCCATCAGACTCACTCACTTATTAGTGTACAGCCGTTGTTTTAAACTCTTCACATGCATCAGCTCATTTATATTCCTTTAATCTTCCCAGCGGCCCTGTGAGGTAAGTGCTACTATGGTTCCCAGTGTGAGGAAGAGGAAACAAGTTCAGAGAGACTGTGCTGCTTACTTGCCTAAAGTCACAGGGCTGTGTCAGGGCAAGGGTTCGCACCCACTTCGGCCTGCCTGCCGGGTGGGGGTCTCAGTCACCCCTCTCCGGGCTTCGCTTTTTTTTTTTTTGGAGACAGGGACTCACTATGTAGCCCGGGCTAGCCTTGAACTCACAGCGATCCTCCTGTCTCAGCCTCCTCAGGGTTGGGATGACAGCTCCAAGCTTTGCCACTTGTGGAACAAATGCTGGAAAAAACAGCAGGAGAGGGAGGAAGGGAGAGTGTGAGTGGTGAAAGGGGCAGGGGTCTTGCCTGTCCTCTGTCACATCCCCAGCGCCCAGGACTGCGCGGGGTGGAGGGGAGACTCTTAGTAAATACTGTTAAGTAAAAGAAAGACACGATGTAACTGTTTCCATGCCTAGAACTCAGCCAGGGCCCGCGTGGACCCTGGGGAGGTGCCCGGGGGGTTGCAGGAGCACCTGGGTCTCCAGAAAATATGATTGCCCCGGTGCTGGGACACATGTGGGACCTCAGGTATTTTGCATAGATCAGAATTTGGGCAGTTAACAGCCTGAACATCCGTACTGTCCAATATCAGTCCGGAATGAACGGATGCTACCGGCTGGCTGGAGGGTTCATGGAGGGGTCTGACTTCGGTCCTTTTTGTTTTTTCCGGCGGCCGCAGGCTACGACTTCCCGGCAGTGCTGCGCTGGTTCGCCGAGCGCGTGGACCTCATCATCCTGCTCTTCGACGCGCACAAGCTGGAGATCTCGGACGAGTTCTCCGAGGCCATCGGCGCTCTGCACGGCTATGAGGACAAGATCCGCGTGGTGCTCAACAAGGCGGACATGGTGGAGACGCAGCAGCTGATGCGCGTGTACGGCGCCCTCATGTGGGCGCTCGGCAAGGTGGTGGGCACGCCGGAGGTCCTGCGAGTCTACATCGGCTCCTTCTGGTCGCAGCCCCTCCTCGTGCCCGACAACCGGCGCCTCTTCGAGCTGGAGGAGCAGGACCTGTTTCGGGACATCCAGGGCCTGCCGCGCCATGCCGCGCTGCGCAAGCTCAACGACCTGGTGAAGCGAGCGCGGCTGGCGAGGGTGAGCGGTGTAGCGGGCCGGGGTTGGCGGTGGGGGTACTCCGTCTGCTCTCCTGGTCTCCTCTATCTTTTTTGCTGTTGATTTTTGAGACAGGGTCTTGCCATGTAGTTCAGGCTGGCCTCGAACTCACGGCGATCCTCCCGCCTCAGCCTTCCGAGTGTTGGGAGGACAGGCGTTCCACCACATCCCGCGGTCAGATGGTATCTTGTCTCTCCTCTGTCCACAGCTCCCATGACTCCCATCTCTGAAGGCCAGGTCCTTGAGGTCAACCCTTGCACTGCACCCCTAGCCCTGCCCCAGGGACTTTGTGCTTGCTGTCCTGTCTCCTGACAACCTCTTCTCCTTGTGCTCCTCTCCCACCCGGCTCCCCGCATGGCTGGTGCGCGGCTGGTGCACTCCGCACCTCTGTCAGGTCTTCGTCGATGCCTTCTCAGGAGGGCGGTCTTTGCCATAGTCCCTGTTTGTGTGGGTCCTGCCGGAGTGCTGCCCCCAGGGCCGGGGCTTCCCTGCCCTGTGCGGCGCCAGTCTGGGGGTCTGCTTGCTGTCTGCCTCCTCAGCTCCGGTTAAGTTCAGAGCCAGAGACTCTGGAAGTCCTCTGCCCATGAGTCCCAGAGCTTGGCCAGGCCGGAGCTCATATTTACCAAGCGCGACACCTAGAGAAACGCTGTGCTTTACAGCTGCTCCTCATGCTGGGCCTCTGCCGGGTGGTGCTGGCTGGGACAACCGCGGCCCTCCTGCTCGGCCTCCTGGGGAGGAGACACCCACCACTCCAGGACAGGGACAGCCCGGCCAGGCCAGGGCCGGGGCCGAGGTGCCCAGGGGAGGTGTGGGAGGCTTCCCGAAGGAGGGGGCATCGGGTACCCAGAGTAGTCAGGGAGGGCAACTCCCTCTGAGGCTGGCCTCTTGCGGGTTATGCCAGGGTACTGAGAGCTCAGCAGGCTTCAGAGCAGGACAGGGTGAGACGCTGGAAGGGGCTGCAGGAGGAGCTCGGTTAGGGCCTCGGGGAGGGAGAGGCCAAGCGGGGCAGTCCCAGGGAGGCTGCCAGGCTGGAGTGCGGGCCGGAAGCTGGGAGGGCGGGAGGCCCAGAAGGTTCTGAGGTGTTGGTGTAGGACGGGAGAGCGTGAGTCAGAACCCCTCCGCCCCCAGGAATCCTGGCGGGAGCCAGCGGTGTGGACGGGCGGGCCGGGAACCACCTTCCCACCTTCCCCGGCGCTCCCGCGCTCCCGCTTTCCCCGCCGACTCTCCGGCTCCCTCCCCACCGGCCGTCCCTTCCTCGCCCGCCCGCGATCCCGGTCCCTGGGGGAAGCAAGGGCGGGAGCTGGAGCCCGGGAGCCCGGACAGGGCCCGCTGGGGCTCGGACACCTGGTGCCCCCCCCCCAGCAGGAGCGGCTCCGGAAACCCAGACAAACCCCGGAGCCGCCCCGCGCCCGGGCGGAGGCCCACCTTATCTCTTCCTGGCACCTTCCCCCGCTTCCTCCCTGGAAAAGCCATCGGCGCTGGCCCCAGTCCGGCCGCCGAGGGCCCCGCCCCCTCTACCCAAAGGGTCGGCTCCACAAGCCCCGCCCACCGACCTGGCCACACCCCGCCCCCTTGGCGTCTCAGACTGTGGGCTGCACTAGGTGTGGACCGGGCGGTGAAGGGAGGCTGGTCCGGGCTGGAGAGCCGGCGAGCCGCACAGCACGTGCAGAGGTCCTGGGGCAGCAGCACGCTGGCCTGCCCAAGGTGCCCAGATGGTTGGAGGAGACGGCTGGAGCCCACCGAAACCCATCATTATTGCCGTGGTGGAACCAGGGCCTTCCCACTGAGCCACACCTTCAGCCCTGTTTTACTATTTTGAGACAGCGTCTCACTTGCTAAATCCACAAGTCGCACACACTAGGCTCAAACTTTTTAAAAATTTTTTTGGGGGTACTGCGGATCGAACCAGGGTCCTTGGGCTTGTGAGGTAGGCGGAGGAATCACTGAGCTAAATCCCTGGCTCCTGGGCTCAAACCTTTGATCTTCCTGCCTCAGCCTCCCAGAATGCTGGGGTCACAGGTGTGCACCACCGTGCCCGATTTAAACCTATGATTCTTTAAAAGATTTTTTTGAAGCCAGTGTTTTCTTTTTATTGTCCATTTAAGGCTATCTCTATCCGAAGTGCTCTCCCACGGGACCCACTGTCCCTGGCCCTCTTCCCTACAGCCACCCCCTGTCCCCCATGCATAGCTTTTCCTTCTCTGCTCACAAAGATGATTTTTTGGGGGTGCTGGGCACGGAACCCAGGGCCTCATGCATGCCGGGCGAGCGGGCGAGTGAGGAGCACCGAGGTACAGCTGAGTGCTATGCTGATTTCACGTTCACATGCGAACCCCGTCGCTGTGCTTCCTGTAAAGGTGGCTCCTGGGGCTGCCCCCCTTGCTTGTGTTTTGTGTTTAGGAGACTGTGGCTCTGAGGTTCCCGAGTCCATTGGCTCATCCCCAGCCTATTTCTCATGCACATGGTGCCAGCCTGGAGGAAACAGAGCAGGCCCCTGAGGCTCATGTTTTGACGGCAGGAGACAGAATAAGTAAAGCCACAGATAAATGAATTAACCATGGATTGTGACACCTTGTGAAGGAGACACTGAAGGCTGAAGAGTGGGCTGGGCCACTGCTCAGCCCATGTGGGAGGAGATGTGCACAGGACTTCGAGGGTGGGGTCTGCAGAGCTCCAGACAGAACAAGTGGCAGGTGCAAAGGCCCTGGGTTGGGGAGAGGCTGGCACAGAAGCTCCTGGGTTATCCATGGATTTCAAGGAGGAATGGGAATAAAGGGGTTAGGGGGAGAGATACCGGCGGCATCTTTAGGACCCATGCAGGGCAGTGGCACTCAGACTGTTGGCCTCAGGACCCATTTCCACTAAAAGTTACTGAGTTGGGTGTGGTGATGCATGTCCACAATCCCAGCAGTTAGGAGGCTGAGGCAGGAGGATCACCAGGAGTTCAAGTCCAGCCTGAACTCTACTGAGTGAGACCCTGTCTTTAAAAAAAAAAGAAGAAGAAAAAAGATCCAGTACGTCTTAATTTCTGGGGCAGGCAGGGCCGGGTGCCACTTCCCCAGGACTGGCAGAGCCAAGATATAGCACTGGGGATGGGCATGAGTTCTGGCTTCAGGAGGGGTCACCGAGGCATGTGAGAGGCATTTGGCAGAGGCTCAGCCTGGCATGGGGGAGTGGGTGGTGTGGAGGGGCTGGGTGCAGGGGCTGAGGTGGCTTAAAGGAGAAGGAATGGCGGAGCCCTGCCATAAGTGCTCCGGCAGCCTTGCTAGAAATGTGGATCACTAATCGGGCGCAGCACAAGGGAGGCTGAGGCAGGAGGATGGCAAGTTTGAGCCCAGCCTCAGTGAATGAGCAAGACCTTGTTTCAAAATAAAAAAGAAAGGGCTGGGGATGGAGCTCAGTGTCAAGGCCCTGGGTTCAACCCACAGTTGGGAAAGAAAGGGAAAGGAAATGCAGATCCCCAGGCCCTGGCCCACCCCGGCGGCCTCGTGGGCTCAGGTGGGAACACTCCTCCGCAGGTCCACGCCTACATCATCAGCTACCTGAAGAAGGAGATGCCCTCTGTGTTCGGGAAGGAGAACAAGAAGAAGCAGCTGATCCTCAAGCTGCCCGTCATCTTTGCCAAGATCCAGCTGGAGCAGCACATTTCCCCCGGCGACTTTCCTGACTGCCAGAAGATGCAGGTTGGAGCTGCTGGAAGGGGTGGCAGGGTGACGGGCGATGGGAGGTCATCTTCCAACTCTGAGAGGAAACCCGGGAAGAGAGGAAGCACGTTCTGGAAAGCGTCTCCCAGTGTGGGTCTGTGGCTTGGTTTCGGAGGGAGGATTATAGAGTGCAGACAAGACCCATAACAGTGGTTTAGGTTTTTGTCTTTTCCCTCCTTCATAAAAATCCCAGAACATGCTCTGGGGTTGATTTGGTGCTTTATGGAGCCAAAGAACTAGTCTTTCTTACTTTTCATCCATATCTGGCCTCCAGTTTCTTGGGAGAAACTTCATGGTACAAAATGGCTGTAGAAACTTTAGCCATTGTGTCTGGATTCCAGCCAGCAAGAGGGGAGGGAGTGGAAAAGAAGTTCCTTTAAGGACCCTTTCTGGAATAGTCCTAGTCACTAGTACTTTCTACAGTGATGGAAATGTTCTAGGCTGTACTGTTTAATATGATAGTGACTGGCCACATTAAAACTGAACTATAGAGCCAGGAGTGCCACCCGGCCTGTAATCCCAGTTACTTGGGAGACTGAGGTAGGAGGATCACAAGTTTGAGGCCAGCCTGGCCTGCACAGTGAGATGTCTCAAAAACAAAAAACCCCAAACAAACAAACAAACAAAAAACTGAAGGGGCTGAAGATGTAGCTCAGCAGTGCCATGCCTGCTTGGCAAGTGCAAGGTCCTGAGTTTGATCCTGGTGCTAGAAAACAACAAAACTGAAAATAAAAATTTAAAAGGGCTGGAATACAGCTCTGTGGTACAGCACCCCCTTGGGTTGTTTGATTTGCAGAGAAAGGACGGGGAGAGCACCAAAAAACCTCTGAGTTACAGATTTTCTTTAATTTTAACTAATTGAAATAACCAAACGTGGCCATACTGAACAGAGTAACCTTCAAAGTTGCACTGGCAATTTGTGCTTATACCCAATTGGCTGGAACCGAGTCACATGGCTAACTGGCTGCAAGGGATACTGGGAAGTATAGTTTTTCCCATGGGCAGCCATGTGCCAAGGTAACTTTCAGGAATTCCCCATTGACGGTGAAGGAACAAGCGGACAACGGGAGACTGGGAAGCTCCTTGGGTGGTCAGACCTAGGATATAGTGCTGGGGAATACAGTCTGGGGATATAGTGGCGGGCTGGGTGTGACCAGGGCTGCTCTGATGTCTTGGATCCCATCCTTCCCCACAGGAGATGCTGATGGCCCATGACTTCACCAAGTTCCACTCGCTGAAGCCCAAGCTGCTGGAGGCGCTGGACGAGATGCTGACTCGGGACATCGCCAAGCTGATGCCCCTGCTGCGGCAGGAGGAGCTGGAGAGCACGGAGGTGGGCGTGCAGGGTGGTGCCTTCGAGGGCACCCACATGGGGCCCTTCGTGGAGCGGGGCCCAGACGAGGCGCTGGAGGATGGCGAGGAGGCTTCGGATGACGAGGCCGAGTGGGTGGTGACCAAGGACAAGTCCAAGTACGACGAGATCTTCTACAACCTGGCGCCCGCCGAGGGCAAGCTGAGCGGCTCCAAGGCCAAGACGTGGATGGTGGGCACCAAGCTCCCCAACTCTGTGCTGGGGCGCATCTGGAAGCTGAGCGACGTGGACCGGGACGGCATGCTGGATGACGAGGAGTTCGCCCTGGCCAGCCACCTCATCGAGGCCAAGCTGGAGGGCCACGGGCTGCCCGCCAACCTGCCCCGCCGCCTCGTGCCCCCCTCCAAGCGGCGCCAGAAAGGCTCTGCCGAGTGAGCCGCTGCCGCCTGCCGGCCCTGCTCCCTCGTGCCCTGCTGTGGCTCCCTGGCTCTTGGCTGCACACTCACCCCTGCCCTGCCCCACACGCGCTGCCCTGCCCGGCTGTGGAATCTTCCTCTCCCCACCGCCAGACATCCAGGTCCAAGCACTTAGTGGGGACCTGGGGGGAGGGCAAGGCTGCTCCCTGCCACCCTTCACACCTCGTGGCACATAATGGCTGCACCGCACCCCGCCGACACACATGTGGGCACGTCACACTGACACTAACACTCGGGCATTGGCACGCCCGTCATTCATTCAGATGTTCATTGAGCACCTACCTGCCTGGCCCTCACGGAGCTGCCATCCTCAGGAGAGGGCGCCCACCGATCACACAAACGCATGCTGAAATGACAAACTCCCTTTTTCTCCCGCCGGGCCAGGCAAAGACCCCACTTTCTCCTGTCCTCAGGTCTTGGGACCACTGGGGACCCACAGCGAGGCCATGACCTCCATCTTCCTCAGAGGGACCCTTTTTCTGCCCCCTCCCTTCCTTTCCGGGGAAAGCCCCAAAATTCTGATCACAACATTTCTTTAATAAAGATCTTGTAGCAGGTAGGAAAACCCCTTCCACCCTGGCCCCTCCTGGACCATGCCCCCTCGGAGGGTCTTCTGCCCTCCGTGCCCAGCCTGCCGCGGGGGCCCCTCTGCCCGCACTTAAGAGGCACCCCGACTGGACACAGCAGCCCGAGCTGTCCTCTCGCTCGGATTTCGGGGATGTCCTGGGAGGGCTCTTGGTGCTAGTGCCCCCCCTCCACAGGACCCGCCTCTGTCCTCCCGTTAGTGCCTCAGGGGCCCCCACGCAAAAGCTGGGGTGGAACAAACAGCTGAGGCCACGCCCCTCCCAGCTGCTGGCTGGGATCCCCCCCCCACCCGTGACCCCATCCCAGGAGGGGCCCCGGAGCAGAATCCGAATCGTGTCCCCACAGAGCGAATAAAGCCCAGGCTTCTCTCCAGGTCTCAGGTTGTCTTGGGGCGCAGAGGGGGGACGGGTGGGGACAGCCCCCCCACCGGCTCGCAGGGGCGGGTGGAGTCTGTGACTCAAGGCAGGAGCCTGGTGACTCAGGCCCGGGCTGGGGGCCAGGCCAGCATATTTTCCAAAGAGAAGTGACTGGGGCCCGGCCCCCCGGGACACCCGCCCTCCCTCGCC